GTGCTTTCCTAGCAACCCCAGGCAGCCATAGAACCCAGAATATTCTCACCAATATTTGAGTCACAATGGACAAATACCACAATGGTGCCAAATTATAGGAAGGACCTGGAGAGAGCAGCAGAAGCTGGCTCTAAGGGCTTGCTCCTGCCTGTTCATCAACAGCTCAATAAAACAACCTCAGGGTTCACATTATTGAATCTGATGCCCTGTTTTTCATATTAGAGTGTTATTATTTATTTATTTATTTATTTATTGCAATGGAGGCATAAAAGCGAATGTACGAAGATGTCTGTGTAGTCTTGAGGAGTGCAAAGTAGTTGCTACCTGGGTGAGATTTGTTGTTGTTGTTGGTATAATGTGACATGGATAGGCCTTCTGACCTTGTCTACTGCCTCCAGTAGTTTCTCTACAATTCAGATTAGGGGAGTCAGGACAGAATTTCAAGGGTTAAAGTAGAAGCGAAGCTTTAGTCTCATAAGAGCTGACCTGCTTAGCCTGGACTGTTGCCCATCTCTTCTGCCTGCCCTTTCCCTTATTTGCTCAGACATCAACAGACCTGAGATGCCTTTACTTGCTTCCGTGAACTTCTTGCATATGTGGAATGGGAAAGCTGTATGACCACAAGGTGGTTTTTCTAGTTCTCTTCYTCCTGCTGCTCAGTTCTGCCCTGATCCTATTGTTKTTCTCAGGGAAGCTGGCCTCCAGATTGGCCAGTGTAGTCAGCCAAAGACCCTTTCTGGCAGCAGAGGGGAAAGCCAGAGCTCTGGATTTCTGGCTCCCACATGGGACTGGTTGTTGTCACTCCTTGCTTGCCCTACAGTTCTCCCAGAAGCAGAGTGGAGAGTTCTCAATGGTGAACACAGCTGTCTTTCAAAGCTGTGTCTAGGAAGCAGAGGCACTTGCTTCTTTTTGACAGAAGTGGCCCTTGWGCCAGAGAGAGCAGAGGGAAAACCACTTGGCTTTGCTGTTGCTAGGAAGCAGAAACATGTTTGATGTTTTGATTTTAGCAGTATTGGAGACTTGCCTTTTTTAATAACATGAAGAGCTATAGGTATTTTGTACAATATTGAACATGTACTTTTCTAGAAATGTGTCATTAAAGCAGAATTCTCTCATCAAATCCCTTTCTCTAGCAGTCATAAAAACAAAACAAAACTGGGAGATAGGAGAGTGTATAAAAAGTTCAAAAGGGAAATGACAGTAGAACAGATGCTTGCAGGAGAAGCTTATTTCAGGGGTTTCTGTGGTCAGCAGCCCCCACAGCCATGGCCATGTTAGGCAGTGGCCAGAGAGTGGGGACAGAGATAGAATTCATACTCTTCAGATATCCATGTGCAGCTCCCCAATCCTGTGAGCTGCCAAAGATTATCAGGCCATGCTCACCCACTCTTATGATTCACCAGATATTTCCTGGAGTTCATGTTTGAGGCACTCTGGGTTGGATGAGCCAGACACAGTCCCCACTGCCAACAGAGAAAGAGGTGATTGCGGACAAAGGGTCTGTGCAGGGTGTGGGGGACGTGAGACCCAATAGGAGAGTGGCTATACTTCTGTGGGCCAGTGGGTGAGCTCCTCTGAGGAATTTGGACTGAGTCTGAAAGGACAGTCTTCAGATTTTCCCATGGAAAAGTAAAAGAAGCACATTTCAGGCAAGACCAGCAAGGTGTAAGGAAGCTGGAGGGTTGCTGAGACACTTCCTAAGACTTGGTGAATGAATGGATGGAGGAAAAAAGGATGGAGTTAGAAAAGTCTATTGAAGTCTAGGTTGCTAGGGACCTTGGATTTGATGCTAGGGACATTTGAACGTTCTCTTAGGTGGCCGTTCAGAAGGCAGGAGTGAACTTGATCCTGATCTCAGGACACCTCTGAATCCCTGTTGGAGTTCAGGAGTGGTTTCCTGAATCTGATGGAGCTGAACACCCAACAGCACCTCTGAGAGTCTTCTGTGATGACAGAAATGTTCTAAATCAACACTGTCCAACACAGTGGCCAGTGAACATTTGGTGTGAGGCTAGTGTGACTGAGGAACTGAATCTGTAATTTTATTCAATTGTAATGAATTAATTTAAYTTAAATAGCTGTGTGTGGCCAGGGGACGTTGCAGGAAGCAGTGGTAGTAGATTGAAGGGGGAAAATGAGTGGCAAAGTTTCCCCTGGAGAGGGATTGTCATCTATTGGATTTCAGGGAGGGAACTGACCCTGGTTCTGATACTGTTACTGTTCTGTGGAGGAAAGGGTTAAAACATGTCTTCTAGGGGTCCTTGAAACACCACACACACACACACCCACACACACACAGCAATAGAGAAGGGCAATAGCCAATGTGTGACAAAGTGCAGGCCTGCAGGGCACCATCTCACTGGGACCTGCAATTGCTCTTGGCCTCCTCTTGCCGTCTGGCTGCACTGAGCAGCTGTGTGGACCATGTAGAGGAGGAGTCCTCCTGCACCTCTCAGCTGCCAGGAAAGGTGCCAGGAGTAGGGCAGGTAAATCAGGAAATCATTTCTAGATGCACTCAATAAAAGCTCCTGTGATGAAAAGTACGCTTTAAAGGAATTGCATAGGCCTGACCTCTTTGTAATTTTGTCAATGCCTTTATGGTGGAAATTCGAGGAGTAGGCAGGTGCCCTTTAGGTCTAGAGCTTCCTGGAAAACTCAGTCTTGACTGTAATGTGGTCTGTGCTTTCCCACTGGTGCAATGAGAGCTGTTTCTCTGACCAGTTCCACAGCTGGCCGAACATAATCAGGACAGAGCAATGTTGTGAAAGCAGAGACACCAAAGCTACAAATTTTAATTACTAAACGTAGTGAAGTTTTTGCTACTTGTTCTATAAAATGAATATAAACTGATAACAGTGGTGCATACTGATTAAGGGACAATATACTTCCCCAAACACATAAAAATTTAGCTACAATGTTTCATAAATTACATTTTCTTTATACTGAATTATTGTGTGATAAACACAAACTGAATAGTTGAATAACAATATTTTTCCTTCCTGAAATCTGAAGTGCTTTTCAAGATGCTTTTATTTTTCTGTTAATGAATTCCTTTGTAACCAGCAAAAGCATGTATAATTATTCCATCATCTGTTTCATATGTCTGGATATCAAGTTCACAGCACCAAAGAAGAATGAAGTGTGAGGACAGCACAGAGTGAAACGAATTGAAGTGTATATCAGGAGGCCATGAATTGGACATTATTTAATAACTGCAACTTATAAACAGATGTTTATAATTTTCACCCACTCTTTAACTTTATTTTCCCATTATAGTTCCTAAATTTTGATTTATATATTAATATATTCTATTTGTTCCTTTTTGTTGTCTTAAAAATAAATTGTGTTATTTATCTTTTAAGAAGAGCAACATGTGCTGTTCATAGAAAATAGAAAATAGAGCTACAATTCCACCACCCAGAGTTGATCATCATGATCCTATCTGTTTTCAGTTATTTTTGTTTTCTGTCCGTGATTACACAATGCTGAATTTTTGTTGTCCTGCTTTTCCCCCTATTAATTCCTCTTGAAGTTTTCCTCATATTTTAGGCAAATATTTCCAAAACATCTTTGTGATAGCTATAGCGTTATCTGATCATACAAGTCACCTAAATTATCTAACTGGGCCCCAACTGTGAGCATTTAAGTTATYTCTTTTTTCCTTTTTAGCTTAAATTGCATAGTAATGAAAATTTCTGTATTTGAAGTCTTTGTCCACATGCTTWACTGTTTTCTTAGGTATAAAATATCTCCATCATATCATAAGAAACTTTCTTTGGATTATTCATAAATATTGTCAAAATGTTCTCCAGAAAGTTCCTTTAATGCAATTATTATAAATATGGGTTTTAAGACCAGAAAAAAAATTGAGTTCTATTCCTGATTTTGCAAAACTGGATCTGCCATTAGCCACGTGACCTTGGGCAGGATTCTGAACATCTCTGGCCTTCAGTTTCCCTATCTGTTAAGTGAGACAGTAACAATATCTGCCTCATCCCCTACTGCTGTATGGAGTAAAGGAGGCAATCTGTATAAAATGCTTGGCATAACAATGTGTTCAACCTAAGAGCCAACAGATTTTACCCTTCTGCCAGCAGAGAGAGTATGGATCTCTCTACTTTTCCAGTTTGTCACAAACTCTGGGCTTAGCTTTGTGTAAAAAAAATCATCAACTTGAAAAGTGAAAAAATAATATCTTAGAATTTTAAGTTCTGGGACGAAACACATCTTTCATGTCTTTAAAATATGTAAAATCTTCAAGGAAAGAACTGGGTTTGACAAACATTATTTCCCCAAATGCTGTTTCTCCAGTCAGTGCAATGGAATAAGCACTGTTCCTGTTTTGTCTCTGTTAGTTCCTGCTTCCCAGGTCTATGCTCTGAGTGTCAGGATGTGATAATTTTGCAAGTGCACTTGGGATGATTGATCCTTGCATACTGTTTCTGCAGTTTGATTCTTGTTTGGAGCAGGTGCTGTGCCAACTACTATACAGAGCTAGCTGACCACTTTCTACACTCAAGTAGGCACACATGTTCCACACAAAAGGACAGCATATTGAATGGTAACTCTATGCTGAGAGATGCCTTTCCAATGGAGCAGTCACTAAGTGTATGTGGCTAAGTTAATTAAAATTAAATCACATTAGAAATCAAACTCCTCAGTTGCACTAGCCAAATACAATGTGCTGAACAGCCAAATATGGATTGTGACCACTTCTTTGGACAGTAGAGGTCATAGAACATTTATGTCATTGCAGAAAGTTAGATCAGTCCTGCTCCAGAAGAAAGAAAACTTAATATCACATTACTCAGAGGTCCTCAGCACTAAGGCAGCATTCAGAATTTTTAATAAATATTTTAGGTATTCAACGCAGAAGTAACAACCTTTAATGGCCAATCAAGTCTTCCTGTCCATCTCTCCAACCCTTTCTGCAAATCACATTTCAGTTTTTTGATGAGTTGATATTTTTGAATATTCTTTTCTCTCCATTGTTTCTCTAGGTCCTGTGTGACAGACATGTGTGAATGTCCAGTGCACAAAAACTGTTACTGTGAGTCATTCCTGGCATATAYGCGGGCCTGCCAGAGAGAAGGCATCAAAGTCCACTGGGAGCCTCAGCAGAACTGTGCAGGTAAGAAAGCCCTGGGGGATCCACTCTTCAGAAGTTGACTACACTGCCCAAGATGGCAATGTAGAATTCTTGCAGATGTTGACATGAATGGCTAGATCCTCCCTTGGCCAAAAGGAAATCCCATTGGTGGCCCAACTGGATTGCTACTTGATAAAACGCAGGGGGTTCCCACTGGGTAGGATAGCCAGCACTTAAGAGAAATGCTTTGTGACAAGCACATTTTAACAATTTAAGGATTTCCACTGTTGCAACATCCTCTCAACCTCAAGCTACCAGCTGGACGTACTTAGCACATKGGTAGTCATCACTGTAGCTTAGGTTATGCGTGATGCAAAGGAGATTTGGGACAATTTGCAGTTATTTAAGGTCTTAAGGATAAACATGATGATTTTTTTTAAAGAGATTGTTATACACACCCTAGAAGAATGTTCCTTTCTCTCCAAGAGACAGTTTTCTATAATAGTTGTTATTAGCTCTTTGTCCTCAGGCAACTTAATTAGCTTATTTCATATGTGTAAAATGGATGCCTTTGTTCATCCAAGACATATTTGTTGCAAACTGGTAAGTACTGGGCATTGTGCTAGACACCCTGGGTATTTTGATGACAATAGTGTTGAAGTCCCTGTCATTGAGATGCTGGCTGTCTTGTGGCAGAACCAGACAAAAACAATAACACTGAAGTAAATATTTACAAATTATAGTGAGTATAATGAGAAAAGCAAACAGGATAGTGTTATAGAAAATAAGTGGAGAGGGATAGAAGGTGAGTCAGATGAAGAGGGGAGACTTCCCAGTACAGGGATGTTTCAGAGTGGCTCTAAGGGAGTCAGGGCAAACTTTCCATGCAAGAGAACCATGTTTGACAGCAAGAAGAGAGACAAAATAGCACTTTCTCAAACCGGAAGGAAGCCAGTGTGGCTGGAGCCTGGTGGGCAAGGGAAAGAGGGGCACAGATTGAGGTGGGCTGGGAGCAGGAGCCGAATTGTGCAGGGCTTTATAGGTTTTGGAAAACAGCCTAGCTTTTATTCTAAGAGTATTGGAAGCCACTGATGAATTTTTAGCAACTCTTTTTGTGTTGTTCAAAGATGACCCTGGCTACTGTGTAGATAATAGAGGGGGGCAAGCTTAAGAGCAGGTGACCAGGCAGGAGGCTGTTGCAGTAGTCCTGGTTTAAAACAAAACAACAACAACAACAACAACAACAAAAAACTGACGGAAGCTTGAATTAAGATGGTGGCAATGCCCAGCTAGGACAGAAGGGGAGATAGTCTAGACATATTTTGAAATTTTCCATAATTCTACTGTGTCAAAAGTCAAGCACTAGTGATGGATACTTGAAGCATCTTGATGAGTGTCCAAGTCACAGAAGATGCTCTGTCACTGGCAGCTGCTGCTAATTCTGTTTGAAGGTGCTATGACCAAGTAATCCTAATAGCCTTAACCGAGATCTTAGAAAAGATGGCAACTCATGCCTCTGCATGCTCCAGAATCTCCTCGTTGGTGGAAGGTAGGGGTGGTTATCTGGTTAAAAGAAGAATCACCTCAGAGCTGTGTTTACAGTGCTTAGACATCATATTCACTTAGGCCAGTAAGTCTCAGCTTAGCTGGAATTGGAGTCACTCTGAGGACTTAAAAAAACACACCAGAAGCCAATGCCTGGGCTGCATACCCAAATAGCCTCTTCATTTGATGTTATGAACTTTAAAACTTCACAGGTGCTTCTGCCCTGCAGTCAGAGTTCAAAGCACTGAGTCCACTTGTGTGTTAACTTGGAGGAGGAGGAGGATGGATGCGTGGTGGTTCCTGACATTTCCTCAGCTGCCCCTTGGTGCTGCCACTAGTTCATGACTTCTGAAAAGTACCAAAGCTTGTGGTCTCCCTCTGACATCCCTTTCAGCTTTGCCGTCACTTCTGCCAACCCAAGCTCAATTTACATCAGAGTTTACCTTCCACAGCAAAAGTTTCTCTCTATTAGTGCTGCTCCTCTCTGAGGACTATTGCTTTGATAAAAAATAATTCACATGAAGGTATGGCTGAGGCTGCTGGAAGGCAAAGCAAATGGCTGACCTCTGACCTTTGGCATCAGCACTGGGTGCAGTATGTGAAGAGGATGTTTGTGAGGAATTGGTCTTTCCTGCCATCTTGAATTCTCCTAGCTGCCTTTATTTTGAATCCTCTTTCCCTTGAATCTACCACAAGATGACTAAGATAAATGGAGTCAAGCACCCACCCATCCATCCTGATGTAATGTAGAGCTCAGCAGAATTCTATTTATTTTATTAGCTGTGGTGGTACTGGGGTTAGATACAGGATATATGAACCTTCTCCTCCTGGCCCAGGGCTACACTTAGCATCATTTCAGTGCACACGGTGAATTTGAGGACTACACATTTCACGTCAACATCCTCATTTCAGGGACTAACTCTCTGGAGCTAAAATTGCTTTTTTAATGGAAAAGGAATATGGCCCCTCAAAGGTTCCATTTACCTCTCAAATTTAATGGAGCCATATGGGTAAAGTATAACTCCATCAATGTGCAGTTGGAGGACAACACTTTACACACACACACACATACGTGCACACACATATGTATGCATATTATGGAATCCCACAGATTGATGATGGATACCTGGGAAAATAAATTTACAGAGACTCTCTCAGTAGATTTGTTTCAGAACCATCTAGAATATTGAAGACTCTAAGAATACTGTTTACTTGTTTTAAGGTCCCAGGTTCTCTGACTCATGAAAGCACTTAATGCTACTTATGACAGACAAGAAAAATTTTCTAGAGTAAAAAGCTCGAAAGTTGAACAAGTAACTTGCCAACCAGGCAAGAAACTCTGAATTAAAAAGTGACATTTTAAAGGCTAGCCTGGATTTTAACACCATCATCACTTCTGACATGGCATATACCCACTAACTGTGTCAAGAAGGACTAAGGGAACTCTAATTTAGCCTTGGAATCACCAAATAAAATGCAATGTGAAGGACTATAGTGAGGGTATATGAAAGTTTAATAATAATGATTTATATTGCTCTTTATTATTTTCTAAGTAYGCCCTCTCCCCCAAGGAGTTTACTAGCATGTTATATGATATTTTATCTTAATTCCATGCCCATGATAACCTATATGTTACCATTATATTACTCCAATTTTACTGATAAATAAATCATGGCTTTGAATAGATCAAGAAAGCTGGAAATCAAACCCAGGTCAATTTCCATCATAACTTCAACATTTAATCATTAAAATTATTTAATCATTCTAACATAAAAGCAAGAATGATTAAATATTTAAATAATTAAATACATCAGTATTCATATTTGTAGAAAAATATGAATACAAATGTATTTATGTATTTATACCTACACCAACTAATTAATCTAAATTTTTGCTGCCTAGATCTTTATTAACTTTAGTAACTTTTCAATTTTTGTTCACTTGTTTCTTATCACTGGTAGGTGTTACTTGGTACCTCTGTAGCTGTAAATTTGTTAGGATCTTGTCTCCTTTTGTCTAACATTACTATCCTTAGCAGAATTTCTGCCATTGCCTACAGCTGATGCTAATTATCACTGCACACCCAGTAATACATTTTATACATAGAAAAGGTGCTAGGAAAGCAGGTTTTTGTGTCTTTCTGCAGCACGGTGAATAGTCTGGGCTTCATGAGCAGTTTCTTCTTCTTTGTTTATCTCTGCAACCCCCAGATGATTCTAGCTTCTTCCCTGCAGCAACTCTGCCCTAGTTATATACATTGAGCTTTTTTTTTTGGCTGACTGGATGCCTCCTGTAAAAATAAGGGGATAAAGTTGGATACTGTAACCTTTAGCACCCCCAGCAGGGGGACATAGAGACAGCTCATTCCAGAGGGCACAGAGCTATGCTTATCTAACATACTGATAAGATCAGCATGTAATGTCTTTATGTGTTAATGTAGCTGTTGAAATGTCCTCTGGAGATTAAATGCTTGCTAACCCTAATACTTTGGCAGGCTCCTGATTTAAAATAAAAACAAAAACAATTTAGCCAAGTGAATACTTTCAAAAGTCATGTGTGTGAACCAAATCACATTTGTGTTTAAAAATTTTATCTTTTGCCTGTTATGTGACTTTGGGAAATAAGTGAATTCACTGAGGGCACAATGGGGTCTCAACTTAGTATTAACTTTGTTCACTCATATAAACATTGTGCCAATTGAAGGCAAATATGATGGTGTCACTCCTCAGCTTAAATCCTTCCAAGGCTTCCCTTTGCCAAGGTTTGTGGAGTCATTTGTGATCTCTGGACACTGTTGACTTCTCTGCCTTTATCTCCCAACACTCCCTCCTCTTATCCTGCGCTTCCTCCCTTCCACCAATCCAGGGATCCTCCTTCCCTGAATCAGCCATCTCTGTCCTTTGTCCTTTCTCCTTATTCTTACAGCTCTCTGTGCCTGGGAAGCTCTTCTGCATTGACTGTCTGACATGGTTCTGCTCATCTTGCATGACCTGAGTGGGATCTGTTCTCTGCAGTCTTCCTCCAACCCAACCCATCTCTCAATGTTGGTTAATGTCGCTCTCTTTACCCTTCCACTGTCCACGCTAGTTTCTTCTACTCATTTATAAGCCCAGCCTTCTTCAACTGGAGGTCAGAGATACATCTTTTTCCCATTCGATTTACCCAGGCTTAAGAGAATGCCCGGCATCTGGCAGATGCTCATTTGATGCCTATTGATCTAATTTAAATTGAAATGGAGATGGGTGTTTATATATGGAGGGAGAATGCCCAAGAGAAAGATCTTTTTCTTTTTCTCTAGTAGTTCTTCATTTTCTACAGCTCATTTTCTACCTGTAGACTGTGAGGATGTATCAGTACTCAATATTATAAAGAGAAGGTGTCATTGAAGAAGTTAAGTGGTAGAGCCAGAAGATTCAAGGAGTCAGAGAGAGAAGACATCAGAGAGTCAGGGTGAAAGAACAAACTCAGTGGGAAAGAAGAAATTCTGCTGAGAAGTCTTCCCAATAGAAGGGATCCTAGCAAGATCTGAACAGGAGAAAAGCATCTGGGGTGAGGTGAGCTGAAAGGGGTTCAGGAAGCAGCAAAGTGGAAAATGAACTTGAGTTCAGCCAAATGAAATCCATGCTGGGAAGCAGAGTGATGGATTGGACACCATTAAGATAAACTCATGATTCAATGTGTCTCCATTACACTGCTCTTCTATGCTTGGTCCAGTGCCAGAACTTTGAGTTATGGAAGATATGGACCCAGCTCTTAGCGGTTCACTATCTTCAACTGCCTGCTTATCACAGTGACCCTTGGAACCTTTTAAATCTATGACCACCTAGACCCCATGCATACTCAGAGCAAAAATCTTGAGGGGTGGAGATGAGGCATAGATATCTTTTAAAAGATCCTCGGGGGACTCTTATGAGTATTATTGATTAAGAAAGATATCTGCATTGCATCTGAGTGGTTAGAACAAATAAATGAATAACTATAATGTGAAAGGTATTGTGGTATGCAAAGGAGGGGAGGCAGGAAGCTACTCAAAGGAGGTGACATTCGAATTAAGACAAAAATGGTTTGATTGGGCAAAGAATTAGAGCTAATGATAATAGATTTCAGGGATTTCAGATGGGATGTCAGAGACTGAACTGGAGGAGGGAAAAAGGAGGTAATTTGAACATTTAGTGTCTGAGGGCAGGCAGAAAAAGCTAAGAAAAAGAAGGTGCTCTCAAGGAGTCAGCGAAGAACCAGGAGGACTCAATTTCATAAACAATAATGAGAAAAAAGACCAAATATTTTGCAAAGAGATCTTTGGAGAATGAGAGCTGTCAGTGTATCAGCAGACGTGGTCATTGGTAAAAACTTTGGAGGGAACTGCTTCAATAAAGTGGTGGGTGAGGAAGACATGTTGTCAATGTTGTTAATCAGTTGCAGAAGAATAGGGCAAAATGACTATAAATTTTTTTTTCCCATAAGGATTGGAGGTGAAAGGAAGAAGAAAGGAAGGAATAGTTTGTTTTTTTTTTTTTAACAAAAAGGGGAAAGATTAATGTGCAAGCAGAAGGACAAAGTTCTTGGAGGAGACATGACACAATATCTGAATGGCAAGCAGGGAGGGGCAGGAGAAGGAGAAGAGGCAGGAGGAGGGTATATTATAGATGTTCCTGTAGTTGAATTAAATCCAACCCTAAAAGAGAGTGGGTGCTCTGGGGTGGAGGAAGTGCTTCGTTGAGTGTGAGGTAGATGATGATGGGAATCAGTGGGGGCTTCCATGGTGCACCTACTTCTACTTTGGAAATATTAGTTGTCCTTGTGTATGCTAAAAAGGAATAAGTCTTTGAAGTGCCTGAAGCATGAATGTGAGGACTTTTATAGGACAACAAGTTTAACAAGTTTAGCACATTAAATTCACCAGTGTATAGTGGTAGGGAAAACAGTGTCATTCACAGAGGTCAGTGTGGGTGCTGAGCACAAAGAGGACAGAGAGTGGATCCACAGGGACAAATTGAAGGTGTTCATTCCCTCTCTGCTGTGACAATTTTATGACTCATTCATTTACTCAACAAGTATTTATTGTTGGCCTTTGTACTTCAGGCTATCTAGGTGCTAGAGATATAGTGATAGACCTAGCAAAATTTCCTCCCTGAGCAAGCTTACATTCTAGTTCATACAGAAGACAAAAGAAATCATGATACTGTTGGGTAATGATTAGCATAAAGAAGAAAAAAAACAGAGAAAATGGGTAGAGAATTTTCTTTGGTTTTCTTTTTGAGACATGAAAAAAGACACCTCAAAAAAATGAGAGAATGAGTTAGGCATAGGAATCAATAAGGCTACATTTGAACTTTCAATATAGTTGACTGGTAATTAGCTACTAAAAACTCATCCCTCTGTTTGTGTATCTGTTTGTGACAGATGACCATGTCATTAATCTCTATTTACAAAGCATTTTGTACAAAGGCTTCATTCAGAACCAATGCTTAGTGAGAGTCGATAGTTTAGATAACAATGATAACAATTGTGGTACGGATAAATAAATATGTGTTTAATATTTTTCAGAGAGAAAAATATTAACTATACTGTCAACAATTTTCAAATTGGTTCCATTCAAATGTTTTTCAAAATTTTATGTTACGTACAGCTCAGTTTTCTAATAATAAGTAAAGATGCATGAGAGATCATTGATTACTCTTTTGACAGGAGGCCTCTTTTCTCATTTGGTTTTAAGTAGTCTAATGGATATCTGAGTAGCCTTCATAGAATTTACTTTATGGGTCTTTTTAACTTGCTGTTAATTAAAAATGTTCAAGCACCAATGTTTTGTGGTAACTCCAAACATATAATTTCCAAGACTCATTTGCTTGGAAATCAATTCTATTTATGGTTTCATTATTCTTTGCCAGACGTTATTCTGCATACTGCATAAACAACAATGGAGACATTTAAGCTGATGACAATTGATCCTTGGTATTACTTTTATTTGGAGCAACTTCAAATGATGATTGGATTGCCACTGGTGTTCATGGAGAGTCCCTGCTCTAAGTTCCTACATGTGTCATAATTTCTAGTGTTGAGAATGAGGGGCAGGCCCTTGGATTCTCTATAGAACTAACTCAGGTGGAAAAGTCTCTATGTTATAAAACTTCCCAAAGGTTTGCATTATTGTTTTCTGACAAATCTATTCATGAATTTTCAGAATCTCTCAGAATATTGTTAAAACTATTTCAGCTCTGAGTTAACAAAGATAGCAAATTTGCTATGACTTGTCTCTGTCGTTGTCAACATTTTTATATTCCCCAGCCCTGTCAGCCAGCTGCTGCTGCCCTTGCTGCGGTCACACATCCAATTTGTCTCTATTTGGCATTATCCCACTTTGGCTCAAGCTTGCCTGAAATTGACTCATTCCACACATGATCACTTTGATTAAAATGTGTCACACATTTTCAATATCTTTGGTAGGCTTTTCCCCCCTTGTGTAATACCATAGATTTGAATATCAATGTAGTCGTACAAAACATTTTTATTAATCTCAGCTCAATAGCTGGAAAAACTATTTGGGGTTAATTTTTCATGGCATTTGCAATAACTAAATAACCCTATAAAATTTTGTATAGCCTTACAGATTCATAGTTTGTCGTACTTAGGAATTAAAAGCTTTTGCTATTATCATTTTTTATTTTGAAGTTCATTGACCCAGGAGGTAGATCTTTGGGTTCATTTTCACAGGTCCAAGTGATTCCCAGAGTGTTTGAGGACAATTAGCTGCTCCTGTTCCCCTGTTAATATGTAAACCTAACCCTGGATGGTGGAAAGGAGTATGCATTGACAACCTGCAGGGATGGTTTCAGGCATGGGTGAGTTACCGTGGCCATTTCTCTCAATTATACTTTTGTTTCCTCTTTTTCAGCCACCCAGTGTAAGCATGGTGCCGTATACGATACCTGTGGCCCCGGATGTTTCAAAACGTGTGACAACTGGAATGAGATTGGTCCATGCAATAAGCCATGTGTGGCAGGTTGCCACTGTCCAGCAAACTTGGTTCTCCACAAGGGAAGGTGCATCAAACCAGTTCTTTGTCCTCAGCGGTGACCTCTGTTCCAGTCTTTAAGACTTTGAAATCTGGTGTCCTTGACACTGACGTAGTAGAGCCAATGAAGGACTGCAGTATTTGTGTGCCTGATTCTGCAAATACACAGAGTATATATGTGTATATATATATATATATATATAGATATATAGATATATTCAAAAACATTTCATCATTTATATGAACTATAGGTGGATTATTATATGTATATTTTTTGCTATAAGACATGTATTGTTTCTAGGATCCTAATCTGTAAGCCATTGGATACATTGTATAAATATACCAGGTGCTTTTAATTTAATAAGGCGGCATGAAGACTTATTGGATGGCTTTAACATCTCATACATTTGTCATTTTTAAGGATGTTTTCTAAGAACCATCGATTGCCTGCCTGCATTAATTTCAGCTTTGAGTCAGGATTTATAATTGAGTGAGAAATGTGTTTCTTTGGAGAAGAGTACATTTATCTGGGGGCATTTCATGTTTCTAAGAAAGGACTGTGTGCCGGAGGGAGATGGCAGGAGATTGGTAACAGGCCCTAATGGTGCATGCAAAGCAAGGGATGGGCTTTTAGACTTTATTGGGTCATGGTCTGATATTGTTTCCAAAATTGGCTGGTTGCCAGGAAATAAATATTTGTCACTAGGGCATAACCAAAGACTCAAGTAATTTCTTGCCATCTTTGCATATTCCTTGAGTCTTCTAATTATATATGTGTGTGTGATGGATGTGACCATTTATATGTCATGCATAGAGATTAAGGGGTATCTGGATGACATGTTAATTCTTTTGAGCATGAGGAGATATTTGGAGAAATTGTTGTGCAACATGCGAAGAACATCCATTTCTCTGAATCTCAAATTCAATGAGTAGATGTAGGCCATCAACATTTGTGACTATTCTGTGTATAAAATGAAAGCCTTTAACTATTTCTAAAGGATTCCTGTCAAATGCTATTTGATGACCATTAATATGTCATAATTATTATACAGGAAAAAAACTATTGACCAGCTGATTTAACATCACACCAAAGAATGGTCTATGTATTTGCTCTAATTTACTGATACATTACTACCAGTCACCATGTGATTTTCCCGAGTTTTGTTTTTTGAATAAGTGAAAATGTCAATAAAAACAAAACCCACTTATGTCTAAAACTAAAATGTTCTCCATTGTAGTAAATAAAGGGCTTAAGATTTAAACCAGTGTGCTTCCTCTTTCTAGATGTCCTGCACTGTACTTTATAAAGCTATATCAAAACCAGCCTTGTCAATTTTTTTAAAACAATATTTTTGTTGTTTAAATGGGTACAATTTTATTTATTTGTTTTTATGTGGTGCTAAGGATCAATCCCAGTATCTCATAAGTGCGAGGCAAACGCTCTACCACTGAGCCACAATCCCAGCCTCTGGGTTGGTTAATATTTAATAGTTTTATTTACATGTAATTTATACAACCCAAGTTAGCTTATTTTCATAAAGAGTGTTATTAATAAATAATAGAAAACACTCAAGTTTTTGGTATAGTATTACCCTCACTAATCAAAGACATGTGTATTCCTTTTACATATGTATTCATAACAGCTAAAGCACTAATTTGGATTTTTTTATTGGAGCATTCCTAGTTGTTTGAGAAGACTGAATAAAGTGCACAGTGTGTAGTGATTGGCTAGGGCATTGGCAAGTTGGGTTTTATCACTGATTTGCTTAGGTCCTATCTACCCAACTGTCTGGGCCCAAGGAAGCCCKGTCCTTGCTTCAGTGCCACACTTGGAAACAGGACTTTCATTTAGGTGCTCTGGATTTCAGTTGTAGTTTGTTACCTTATACATGTTATCAACACATTTGGGCCACACTTTTGATTATCTGTAATGTAAAGAGGCTGTGTGTCATAGTGGGCAGGATTGAGAAGCAGGAGACCTGGACACCCACCTCGTTCCTGGCCACTAGTGAGCAAATGAAGCCCTAATCAGAGGCCCCTAAGGCTTGCAAACTCTTTCCCACTTTTAATCTCATTTATTCTCTGCTTTCCTATGAAAGGAAAAGTTGACCTCTTCTGGCTGGTTTCTACCTTCTGTAAAAAGTACAGATTCTTTTTGGTTGACTATAAACCCCTTTCCAGTTCATCTGAGTTTTACTTATTAAAAGAGAGCTGCAGGAAGGAAATGATGCAGGAGAGAAAATTGTCGATGTTTATTTATTGCTCATGATTCATCAGTGGACTGAGTGACTCTACCCAATAAGGCTAACCATCATCTTTCCCAACACTTGAATCATGGCCAACCATGGTGGATAGATGGTAAAGACTATTCTGGGGGGGGGACTAATTCCATCATTTTAGGTGGCTTCATTATAAGCTTGTATGATATACCTTATCAGGGGTTAGCTTAACCTCTGTACATTTTTTAAAATTCCTAATGCAGGAAGAAATTTATAGAGGATAGAGAACCATTCAACCTGCCAATCCACTGTGGCAGCTGACTGATGGGGTGGCTGAGGGAATCAGCTGAGTGGTTGTCTACATTGTCTGTTTTTGACCCGACTAAGCAATGACTATCTAAGGACTGATCATAGTGGAGACACTTCAATGACAGTGGACATGTTTTGTTCATATGGGATGTTCCCCAGACCTAACTCCTACAGACTTAAAACAGACAAAAAAATATTCTACTTCTCCTTTTAATGTGCATAATCCTGGTTCACAGTTGGGTGGGCTTCATGGTATATATAGATTTCAAACATAGGCTAATACTGCTCTGTGTATAAAATCCCTACTCTGATCAAGCTATTAGCTGTGATTATTGAATTTGATGACAAACAAGCACTCTTGATGAAGCACAGGCACAATTACGATTCCAACTGGCACTCAGCCTAAATAAATTCTTTCCCATCTCCCTGCGAAAGTAGGAATGTTTGCGCATTCTGACCTAAAGTTTTAAACTAGCAAAAAAAAAAAAAATGGCCCTTTGACCTTGATGATAGCAATTTTTATTAAAACAGTGGCAGATGGAGAATCACCCTCTTCCAGGGAAAGATCTGGCCCACTCCTAATCTGCTGTTTCCTGAGCAGCTGAGCAGCAACCCTAGAGAGGACACCTCCCCAAAGAACAAGAAAGACCAGTGGGTAAACTCTTCCCCAGCTTTTGCTACACATAAATAAACCATTTTGATGGGAAATCTCTTTCTCATTATGAAATCTTTAAGACATTCGAAAAGGGATAAACAATAATGTAGCAAACACCCAGGAATACATTCCCCTAATTAAGAATAATAATCTGGCAGGAAAACAGGAAATTTTTCTTGAATAAATAAACAAAACCTGGCAAATATGAGGTTTGGGGATTGCAACGGTTCTTCGTGGAACGTGTTGAGTTTGAGCCTTGCTGAGTTTCTGTTCCCATTGCCACTCTTTGTCACTCACATTCATCTGGATCTGACAAGTTATCAGGATGTGTGCTTGGGAAGTACGAGGTGAGGGAGATGGAGGGTGCCGTGGGGGACAGGCACCAGGACATTTTAATTAGCTCTCTCCTCAAACACAACTCTTAGGAACAAGCAAAAATAGACTCCAGTTCTAAATCCCAACAAACAGAACTTTTTGGGTACCAGGGTTTTAATTCTGGAAAAAAAAAAAAA